GACGCTGGTGTGCGGCGCCACGTGCAGCGCCTCCGGACATGCTCTCCTGGCTTGGCCAGAGCCAGCGGTGGGAATCAAAGGTCCCTTTGTCCCTGTGTCTGAAGCACCCTGAGCGTGGGTGGATGTCCTTAAGCTTGGGCTTTGAACCCCTGCTGCCGCCAGCGGTGCCAGGCTGCGGAGGCCGTCAGAGTCGGGGCACTTCCCCAAAGCCCCTGAGGCTTGGAAGCACTGCAATCCTGCTCCAGGGATGGCTGGGGCTGAGACGGAGGTAGCTTGGTTGGCTGTGAGCGGTGGAGACTCGTGGCCCTTTGAGAGCCAGGAGGGCTATGACCTTATGGCGGGGCTGAGACCTCGGCAAGGGGCCCGATTCCCACGGGTCTCCGAGTGGCACTAGCCCCTCTGAACCTCAGCTGGGATCCAGTCCAGGCACTGGCGTGTACGTAGGGAGAGAGGGAGGACTGGGTGGCAGCACAGTGGGGCCCTGCCGCACATCGCTGGCATCCCGGACCAGCCTTCATCCTTCCCATCTGTGCCCCCAGTGACCAAGAGGTGCTTTCTCCCCGCAGGAGCACGTGTACATCTACCTGCTGGACGGGGAAGCCCGGCTGATCTGCGATGACCCCCACCACGAGTTGCCTCCCGAGGGAAAACTCAGGTAAGCCCAGCTGTGGGAAGCATCTTCAGACGGGTCCTGGGAGGGTCCCCTAACCCTACCCCACATCCGAGACGTGCCCTCCAAGAGCGGAGGGGTCGTGGTCCTGACCCTCTGCTAGGGCTGGCCGAAGCATCCTCCGTGCCACAAGCTATCCGTGCAGCAGTGGAATAAGCTGCTTCATGTGCACCGAAGCAAGGCAAAGACGGGTGACTGACCACGTAGCTGGGTGGGAGGTGCGGGGCCAAGGGCTGGCTCGGGCCGGAGAGCCTCTGCTCTGAGCAGCACAGGTGGGACGCGAACCTGGGTCTCTGGGACTCCCCGGCTGCAGAGTGGGGCAGCAACGCACACCAGGAGCTCGCGCTGCCTCTCGCATGAGGCACGTACCGACTCCCTGATCTTGGGGACTGTCGTGACCCAGGGCTGCCCTTTGGTCCGGGGCAGCACGGTGAGTCAGATGCTGCTGAGGTTAGTGCAATCGAGCCTGGCTCTGGTGTCCCTGCTTATCAGCAGCTTATTATTTTCCTGGGGAATGAGATTTCCCAGGGTGAATCGAAACCCTGGAGGTGAACTTGGACTTGCTTTGGTGAATCGAAACCCTGGAGGTAAACTTAAACTTGCTTTGGAAAGCTCATTCAACTGCTGCTCTGGCTTTCTTTCAGGATGGGGGGCAGCGGAGGGGTGGGCATATATTTTTTCCTAATAAGCCCCCACTCCCAGCCTGCTCTGTGCATTGCACGGGACGGGGATCGCCTGTGTCTGGAGCCTGGCTTGTCCTGATTGTCAGGGTGGGACACTGCCTCGCTGTGTGTCATAAGCCTTGTACCGCTGGCAGCAAAAGCTGACCTGGCATAGCCTGGAAGGGTCTCAGGAGGAGAAACCTTGGTGGCCTCATGCAAAAGTACAGGGATAGCTTGTGGGACTGATGCGGCTCGGGGATGTGCTGGCTGGGCTCACGCCATTGCGATTCGCCCCTCTGCCGCCGCATCCTGGGGTGGGGGAGCAGTTGGGCAAGCCCCTGCAGTCAGGCTTGCCCTGCTCCTGGAAGGATGCACGCATTTCAGTCTCGCAGCTGCTTGCTAATCCAGTGCCCCTGCCCCAGCTGACCCCGGACATCCTCCTACTGCTGCATCCTGAGGCGTTCAGTGCCCATCGCCCTGGTGTCTGAACACCACTCAATCTATGAAACTACCCATTCTCCCCATTTTACGTATGGGGAAACCTGAGGCCGAGGGCAAGTGACTTTGCAGGTCCTGCAGCGAGTCGGCCGCAGTGAGAGTCGTGCATTTGGCCCTATGTTTATACAACTGCCACCGAAAGGCAACCCCCTCTGGGCTGGAATGGGGGCTGATCCCTTTGGAGGCTGTGATGGTGCTTCCCCTTGGTACAGCCTCTCCCTCCAGCTACGGATCAGCCCCAGAGCCATTCTCATTTCTGGATACAATAGCAATGGATAGCTCAGGATTGCACTGTGGGGGGGGATAAGGTGTTCGGTTCTGCCTGGCAGGGGAAGGAAGTTTTTATTTCTCGATGCCTGCGGGCAGCCGCTGGGAGAGAAAATTGCTGTCATCCGCCTCCTGCTTTTGGGGCCGCGGGGTCAAAGCAGAAAAAGATGCCCTCACTGGGGAAGAGCTAAAGAAGAAAGAAGAGGGCGGAAGAGATAAACGGAGACCCCGGGAGCTCACAGCTCTGCCCCGCACCCTGACCCTCATGATACCATGCTAGGGCATGATGGAGGAGACTCCCCATTTGCCAGCAGCAGTAGAGGCTCTATGACGCTGGGGGACAAGGGGGCAGTAAGCAATCAGCTGAGCGAGACCAGGAGGTGGGAATGAAATGACTCAGTTGCCCAAGCCCGGCGCCTCTCCCTGGCGCTGCTCCAGCATCCATCTCCGTCTGGGAACATCTGCTCCCTGGATTTGTCACCAGGCTCATAAAAGCCAGGGCGGGGGGGTTTATAGCTCCCGGGGGCTGTGTGTGAACCTGCCTCCTCTTGGGCACAGGAAGGGTAACGGCATTAAGCTTGCTGGGTGCTGGGATACACAGCTGGAGAGAGGTGGCTGCAGGTGGAGGGATTTGCAGAATAAACCACCCCCACACCCTAGCGCTGAGCCCTCCCAGACTGCAGGCTCTGAGCCGGTGCTGCCGAGTCCTAGTGTGTGCACAGCGGCCCCAATGGGTGGCCGGGACACCCCCACCCCCAGCTAATATCAAGGAGCTGGGAACCACTAATAGCACAGCAGGGGTCTGTCGGTGCCTGCTGCCTGCCCAGCCCTGCACGAAGGGGAAGCACCGGCTGCATCTATTACGGTCTCCCCAAAAGCAGCAGATGCCTGCCCCTCCCTTTGGCCTGTCCTGCATTGAAGTCCTGGCTTGAAACTGAGAGGCTCCCTCCCTGCCACCACCTGACAGTGCGCCCTGGGGTGGCTCATCTGTGCCTCAGTTTCCCCATCTGTAAAATGGGCGCGATGGCATCCAGCCTCCGCATCATGCTGCTGCCTTGGGGGTGCGGGCATAGCTCTGTGTCTCCTCCATGGGCTGCTTTTCCTCTGTCTCGGGAAGCAAAGGTTAATTGCTGCAGAGTTGCAGCCCCCCCCCGCCAGGACGCCCAGCTCTGGGACCCCGACTCTGCTCTGAAAGCAAGACGCTTTACCTTGAAATGGGCTGCTGCTTGGGTGAGGCTGCAGTGCCGCGGGAGTTTTCAACCCAGGTGCAAGGTGACCAGCGGGTTACTGCCACCTGCATGCAGATTCATGGCTGGAGACTGCCGGCGTCACTCGTCCTGGCTCCATCATCGCCGGGCTTTTGGGGGTGCTTCCAGCGGCAGAGTGTCTTCGTTTAAGGTGAGGAAGCTGGTGCACGGATGCAGCCAGCACACAGTCTGGACAAGGCAGAGATCGGGGCCCAGCGACGAGGGAGAGCCCGAGACCTCCATCGTGCTGCATCTGTGGATGAGATCCTGACATCTTCTTCCTCCCGATCCACCACTGAGGACTTGGCGCTGGACTGTGGTTTGCCTGGTACCGCCCCGCAGGCCTGTTCATTGTGGGTGACTCTGCCAGGGGTGCGGGACACCGGGCAATATAGCTCTGAGGATCATGGGGACACGCAACCTCTGCATGGCTGCAAGGTCTTGGTCCAGGGAGAGGGTCACTGGGCAGAGACGTCCTCCAAAGCATGCTGCTGCAGCATTGAACCCTGGGCTCCCAGCATGGCCCTTCTTCCCCCTCCCCGGGGTTAAAGGACTGACACACTCTCCCCATCTCGGGAGTGCAGGCAGTCCCCCAGCGGCCTCTCAACTGCATTGCAAATGGACATCTCCCTCTCAGGCCAAGAAAGGACCCCCAGCTCACTGCTCGGGCCTCAGTTTCCCCAGAGAGTTCAAGTGACTTGCCCAGGGCCATTCAAGGAGGCAGTGGCATGGGAAGTGTTGAATCCAAGCCCCAGCCCAGGACTTTCAGCATAGACTAATTCAGCTCCCCAACCCCATGTCCCTCTGCCCTCTGCCCAAGGGATGCAGCGCCAGCATCCAGCAGGGAGCTTAGGGACTGCATTTAAATCCAGCCCTTGACTGTTCAGCCTGTCAGCTCGCTGAGGCCAGGGGAGGGAAGTGCATGTGGGCAGGAGCATGGAGCAGGGCCGCTGCTGCATCTAGGGATTTTCCACTTCTTCTGGTCTGCGCTTGAGACCAAATAGCCGTATGCACCAATACAAATCGGGGAGTGACTGGCAGGGCTGGGGGTTACGGTGGATCCTAAGCTGAATACGAGCCCAAAAAAGCCAACAGCCTCCGGGGCCGTGTTAGCAGGAGTGTCACGTGCCATGCAAGGAAGTGGTTCTGCCGCTCTATTCGGCACTGGGGAGACCTGCCCTGGGGACCTGTGTCCAATTTTGTGCCCCGCACGTCAAGAAGATTGAAAAGAGTTCAGCTCGGAGCAATAAAAATTATTAGAGGTCTGAGAGACAAGACTGATGAGGAAAGGCTGAAAGCACTCCAGTTATTTAACCTGGAGACGAGATGAGTGAGGGGGGATTTGCTAACAGCCTTCAAGTACCTAAAGGGCCGTTATAGGGAGCATGGAGATAACTAGTCTCAGCGCTCATACGACTAGGAGCAACGGTCTTGAATTGCAGGATGGACCTGAACTTGCAGCCAAGGAGGTCTCGACTGGCTACCAGGAAAACCTTCTTCCCTGTTAGAGTAGTGAGGATGTGCAATAGCATCGTAGACTCACAGAGCAGTGGGGCTGGAAGGGACCTGGGGCACGTCTACATGTGCATTAATGCACCATAATGACGGTGCATTAAGTTTAGTACCTGTAATAACCATTTCTAACTTAATGTGGAGTAATCGGCTGTGCCTTAGCGCATTAGCACCGCTTTTGCCATGACACACTAATGTGCAGTAGAATTATTCTACTGCTCTTTTAGTGTCTCGTGTGGACATGCCCGTGCAGAGGTCACATCTAGTCTAAACCCCTGACGGAGGCAGGGTCAGCCCTGTCCAAAGCATCCCAGACAAACTCAATGCCCAAGCTCTTAAGCAAAACTAGTCACCCCTGGCAGCACCAGTCATCACACCCCACCCTGCCACAGGGAAGGCAGGGGGATTGTGGCCACCAATGTCCTGCTGCTATGAAAAGTTGTCAATAGGCACTTGAGGGATCCCAGAAAGAGGCCATGCCCCTGCTGCAGAGGAAAGCAAACCCCCTCCCCAGTCTGTACCAGTCTGACCAGGAGAGAAAATCCCTTCCTGACCCCAAATGCAGCATCAGTCAGACCCTGAGTAGAGGGACAAGACCCTCTAGCCAGGACCCTCTGGGTTTGGTCCCAGCAGGAGCACTGGCACAGCTCAGTCCCCATCCCCAGCTGGGCTGCAGCAGCACCCAGCACCTCTGAGGCTTAAAAACACCCTGACATGCGAAGCAGAAAGTTGGGGGTGGAGGCAACCAGCAAAGCCCTGAAGCCTGGGAAATCCCATCCCACTGAAGCTGTGGACTCTC